GAAATTATGTACTTCCTTTTGAGTGACTTTGTTTAGTGGCTAATTTCGTCAGTGTTATATAAAAATGTGATTAGTTTTGTCAGTGGTGTGTGAAACTGGTTAGTTTTGTCAGTGTTGTGTGAAACTGCGATTAGTTTTGTCAGTGGTGTGCAACACTATGATTTGTTTTGTCAGTGGCATGTAAAATTGATTAGTTTTGCCAGTGGCATGTAAAGCTGTCTTAGTACTAAATTATGTTTAAAGCACCCATTATGATTTTTGCCCTGCGCTGTTCTTATGCAAAAAAAAACCGCCCTAGCGCAATTAAAAATGCAAAAAAGATCAAACAAAATGTAAAAAGCACTGAAGAGATCTGAGTACACATTTAAAAATACCTCTTTGTCAGGATCACCTCTGTGCTGTAAGATTTTTGAAGGTATATTTTAGCTTATGAGTTTCAGCCAAATAGCAGTCTCATTTACTTATTTGCAACTAAATGGCAGCCTAGCTGAGATACTATTGTATACACAAAAGTACGCAGTGTTTCTCGTCATAGGTTATGTGTAGTTCTCGACTGTCTTGCATCTTGTTTCGAATATTTCTGGGTACGTTTCTTTGCAGCGGTCGACAATTTAAAATGTCAATACAGTATTACAGCAGACGGCAAGACTTTTTACATAAATGTTTTTACACTATAATTACTTAATGGAAAATAATTAGCTTCCAAAATTCTATATCTATATATATATATATATATATATATATATATATATATATATATATATATATATATATATATATATATATATATATATATATATATATATATATATATATATCACTTATATTCGCAAAATCTTTTTTGTGTGAAGCCTTACATTTGAAAATGCAAGGAAAAGCATTTAGTCCCGACTAAAAATCAAATCCCATGCGTCTCGCTAGCAGTAAAGGCTTTGCTTCTTTGCTTCTTTGCTAAAACATTCCAATCGTTTAGCTTGCTAATTGATCATTTCAAATTATTTATAAATTGGAAACAGATGGATGCTAAAACTTTTGAAATTAAAAAATCCCTTTTAGTTTAAATAATTCAAAAAGATTTATCCAGTGCTAAAACGTATATTGTACTACTTCAGTGAGAAGCGGCGCTGACATATCCTTTGAGATTTAGATTAAGGTCATGGTGTATATTCTAAGGTTTGAAAGTGTATACTCAAACATGAATAAAATTTTACATTTTTACTCAAAAATTTATTATTTAGTCCAATATAAAAAAAGACTCGGCAACAAAACAGTTCTTAACAGACACGTTTTTCTGCAAGAAATTTATTTACTTGAAATGCGTTTTCATTGTTTTCACCTACACTCAGTTACTTGCATCTCTACTGTTCACCTGTTCACTACTGAAAAGTTTTAAAACATGAAAGCTGCATTCAGAAATGGTGCTAACTCGAATATACTTATACCACTTGATTAATATTCTTTCTCCTATTTAAGTGTCTGCCTGCATATACATTCAGGGATCCTATTGGTCTTGATACTACTGGCAGTACGAGAAATCGCCTTGAATGAACTGTGCAATATCCTGGTCAAGCTCGTAGCACTTGCCGTGTAATTTGGTCACGTTAATTCTATTAACCCATCCTTTCAGCCACGCCAGATCGCAGCCACATTCCACTTTAGTATTTTCAACTTCCAGCGTTTGCAGAGTGGATATGCCGGCCAACGCGCGCGGCAAGGTCGTAATATTCGTGTGAGAAAGGGATAGCTCTGTTAGTGAGGTCAGATTGGTGAATGCTTCAGGCGACACGTACATCAGCGGATTCTCTGAAAGATCAAGTTGTTTGAGGGAAGGGTAATCAAGGAAGTCAAATGTGTCTATTGTCACCAGCTTATTCTTTCGCAAAGATAAAATTTGCAGTTTCGAAAATTTGGCGATTGCAGACGGAACATGCTGAAGAGAGCATCCTTCTATCTTTAAGAAAGGAAGGTTTGTATCAGATTCTAGAATATCTTCTTCTTTGATAAATTCTAAACGTTTCACGTCTATAACCTGAAGCACTTGAAGGTTTGGCAGGTACTTAGGAATCCTGGGAAAATGCTGGAGAGAGTCGTCATGGTTGATGTAAAACTGTTGTAAGCGAGTGAGGTTATGTAAGCATTGAGGGAAGATAGAGTGACTGTTTGAAGACGACATCGATGTATCTCTCAGCTCAAGCGTCGTCAAACTCGGCATGTCGCAGATTGCCAGTGGCACGTGCGTCATATTTGTGGCCACCAAATGGAGTTGCAACAGTTGGCCTTGAAAGGGCTGGAATGCGGACGGTGGCAAAATATCCGTATTAATGCTATAGATATAGAGAATCCTAAGAATTATAAAGTTGTTCATCCCACTGGGCCAGGTTAGCATCTCCTTGGCCCCTAAACCAAAGGACATTAACCTTCTTCCTAAACTACGCATAATTGTATCGTTACAGATTGCAACAGGGTTGGAGTTAATCCAGAGTGTTCGCAGTCTGGTCAGTTTCGTTAAGGCAAAAGGAAGACTCGTTAGAGAGTTGTCGTCCAAAGACAAAGAAGTGACACCGTTCTCCACGCCATCAAATGCATGGTCATCAACGTGGGAAATCGAGTTATGTGATAGCACAATTGTCAGACTGTGTCCCCCCAGAGTCCTAAAAGCTCCTGCAGGAATCTGTTTTATTACATTTTTCGACAGATCAAGAACTAGGTTGGACGAGTAATTTGCCGTGATGTTGACGACGGGAACTGACATAAGTTCACCTCCGCTGCAAGATATCGTGTTGTCAACACAAACACATGGCGGTGGCGCAGCACAGTGTTTCGTGTTCGTGTTGATCAGGAATCCGGAAATGCCGTGGTTATATATACAGGATTCAAGAAGCGCCAAAAACACCTGAAAGAAAGGAAATTGAAGGAAATAAAACGAATACTAAAGAAACCAGATTTTGTTTCTTTTAGTAACTTCTTCTGTAAATGTCACTAGCTTGCTGTATTTACCATTTGTAACCGTAAATTCTAGTCTTCGAAAGGGTACATGTATCAGGTGAACTTTGAAGTATAACAAGTGAAAGGAATCTTGAGCAATCTCTTTTTATAAAAACTGTGCATCCTTTTCGTAACAACTTTCATCACAGTCATGAAGCACGTGACTGCCCTGTATCATCTAGCTACTCAGTTTTCTGATCACATTAAAATAATCCTGTCTTTCTGATTTGTCAGTCACAGCAGTATCCATTTTGGTTCAATCTACTTTTCGATTTTTATCAGATATAGGCCTTGTACATATATGACTGATATTGACTGATTGACAGTTCATAGTGACATGCAATGGCTTCCTTAGGTTTAGATTCCCCCTTTTTATCTGTGCCCCGCAGATGTAATAAAGAGATACATTAAAAGAAAGCGCTACGTTTCTGCGGGTATATGCAGGTGGTAAAAACAGAAATACATGGTAAAGATTAATAAATTTATTCTGGCACAATAATCAACTTTTCTCACATTATATCCAATATCATTGCCTATAGCGAATCAAAGGTAACTTTAAAGTAAAAAAGGATCTTCTCTTATACTCGAATATTCCAGAACGGGAAAGGAATTTCACACACACACACACACACACACACACACACACACACACACACATGCGCGCGTGCGCGCGTGCGCGCGCACACACACAACTTTAATGATTAAAATGCTCACGAGCATGTTTCGACACAAGTAAGTGTTTTCCATTGCAAAATTAATTTTTGGGGGGAAAACGGCCGAATTCCCGTTTCGACAAAAAATATTATAATTTATAACATGAACTTCAAATCAATGCTGGATTTTATATTAAAGAAATACTTACTATTACGTTGAGTTTAGACATATTCGTTCGCCAAGCCGCCTCTTTTTGCTTCCAGTTGAAATGAAAAAATAAATATCGAATTAGAAATAGACGGACTACATTTGTAAATTTGTATTTATATATATCTATTTTTTTCATAGACATTTATTATCTATTGTCATGACTGGTCGTTTATTGAGGTCTAGGCTTAAACATGTGAATTCAAATGTACTCCTAACTTATGTTAAATTGAACTTTCTTGCACTGATAATTTTAACAGCAAAGGAATGAGACGTTAGGGTGGTTGATATATGTATAATTTTAATGGAAACCACATCTTAGTACACAAAGGCGTCGGTAAGATTAATGGTTAGAAAAGAAACAAATGTCATCTGATATCTCAATTTGGTGTATGCCTTTGTCATTAAATTCATATTTAAACACCTTCAAAGCTTTTAGAATCGGCTAATAGAAAATAAAAAGTTGATATTTCCAGAGCTTACGTCAAAAATAGTTACACTACAGGAGTCCATTCCTTAAACGCCCAATGCCCCCTAATGTGTCATGCGCAATAAGAAAAGACGTTTTTCGACAAGTTTTTGCAATGAGACAAATGGCACAGTCTAATTGCACGTGGCAGTTAAACTGAGTCTAATTTTTCTTCATATTGACCTTAATATAGACAAACCAAGCCGTCTCCTAAATGATATGTAACTATATTAAAAGTTTCCAAGGAATGATAATGAATATGTTAACGTCATACCAGGGCAGGTGTCAATTAAGGACCTGCATAGATGAAAAGTTAATCATCTTGCTTTGTACACGTAAGGTCTCAGGTTTGATTTGTTTTTCTGGTATATTCAAGCATTATTATGGTTGTAAGTCCTTGGTAGGTCTTCAGTCTTTTCTTTTACCAGATGCTTCTTCAAATGATGTAATGTGATTAGGATTCTTAACGTAGCTTTAACAATTTTTCAGTCATGTCGCTACGATGTCTGCAGTGTGGCAGTTTATAGTGATGTCTAGCACTGCGGCATGATGCCGCAGACATGTGGCATGATGTCCCACCCAGTCATATTATCCTGACACCAGGCCGACCAGTCCTAACACTAACCTCTGAATGCTGAGCTTCAAGCGAGGCAGCTGTTAGAACCATTTTTGTAAGTCTTTGGTATGACTCGACCGGGGATCGAACCCACGAACTCTCGCATCCAAGGCGGACGCTCTAACCGCTAGGCTACCGGAGCGGTAAATTGCTTCTTCAAGAGCATCGGGGATATAAAATTTCGTCCAATCCAGTAAAGTCGATAAACTTTTAAATTCATTGGTTGACGTAGACTATAACAGTTTCTGTGTTTGATTCTTCGCTTTCACTGATTCGTCCTTGAATTGTTGACGTAGAGAAATTTATCTCATTGCCTTCATTTTACCCCTTAGCCAGAGGTTATCACATTCTGATAAAAAGGTCACAGTCTCCGCCCATCCTAAGAACAACGCAGTTTCGCAGTCACGATACAAGTTAACTCTCTAAATAATGAAAAGTTGTGAGATAAGTTTTTTTTTATATTGCCGATGGCGTGATACGACTAAAACGTGATTTTCACACTGTGGTAATCGGTCCAACAAGTTCAGTTAGAAACTGCATAAATTTACCAATGCAAAGCAGTCTATTACAAAATTCGTTACTTACTCGAAAATTGTGTTCCGCTTCCTATGTTGGCAAACACTTTCAAGTTCAAGGGGTTATCATCTAGCACTGCTATTTACAGTACAAACCTAGGGAAGTCCTGCATATAAGATCTGTAAATGAACTTCTTTTATCTTAGCCTATAATAACTTCGGTACCATAAAGCAAATACTCGGAAAAACTTGCATATCACATATAGCACTTTTATAAAGCGTTCCTTAGCCCACCTTAAAGATATTAAATAACCAAAATATCGGACCACAGCACTTTGATCTTTTTATCCACTGCATCATTTTATATTTGCAGTTACATATCTATATTTAAAAAGCAATATTGGGATAAAGTTTTGATATATCCAATCAATATAGATTATTATCTTCTTTTTCTTTTTAAATCCCTCTGTTTATCACCTGGGCCTGATATTATTCACTTGAGTTAAATAACTTAACAAAAGACTATTTCACTAATGGCATCTGAATTACTGGCAATAATAGTGTTGTGTATCTGTAATATGTGCTTAATTCTTGTCCGTGATTGAGGGCTGTGTATATTTAAATTTTGTCCTGATTCTAAGAAGTAAGCAATATGTTTACTTGAATTTGATCTCAAGACCTGGCCTTGTTACCGAGTTATTGGAATTTCCGTTGGAAAATCGCAGGTCAAGTCATACATGTGTGTGTATGTGTGTATGTATGTATGTGTGTATGTATGTATGTGTGTATGTATGTATGTATGTATGTATGTATGTATGTATGTATGTATGTATGTATGTATGTATGTATGTATGTATGTATGTATGTATGTATGTATGTAAACAATATTCATTTAGGTTTCAATCTTTGGCAAACTATGATCAGGGTTTATGAATTTGTTCAGTTACAATTTGAGAATAATATTTTTAATTATCATAGAAATCACATAAAGTACCCATTGACTTTTTGGACTAAGACGTTTACTTGGTATTATTGAGGACTCATTGTGATATATCGAGAAACTCAAGACTATTGGAATTCATTCGGAACATTCAATACTTTTGGATTAGTGATAGGACATTTAGGACTATTTAGGATTTAATTCACAATATTGTAAGTGTTTTTTTAAATTTTCACTTTGTAACTGAGAGAAATAAAATTATTTGTTGATTTCATTAAACTTGTTTTGAATCTTTCTATTATATAGTTTAGTGCCCAGAGTCGTTACACATATCCCCATATAAATTATCCACGAATGTTAGCATCATGTCAATTTGGCCTAATTTACTACTCTGAGGCTATGGCTTGGTTTGGTGTTTTACAGAACAACAGTGTGTGCAGCAATATTCCTGGGTCCCGTTTATTATCAGCCCTTGCCAAAGATCATGTTGAAATAATCCCCTATGCAATTTAATAAAACTGGGATCAGAAATATGGCACCCAGAGTGGCAATAAGCTTAGACCATCAGATTCAAGATAACGACCTTAATATGACCTTGGACATAATCCCAAACTTATAAACCCAGAGGAACCAGCAGTTCCAATCGAATGACAATATAAAAGATGCAAGAGCAGCTTCAATCCTTGGACTAAATTGTGGTCATTGCACGGTGTACAAACACTGTCCAAGATTAGCCAGATGATAAAGGCATATAAAAAAATCATATTAGTAAGAGACATGTTGACAACGAGTTGGCTGCTCTCAGGATGCTGTTTTATTTTAAAGAAAGTTAAGAGAATTCCACAGAAATCAATTATTTAATAATAATATCCTTTCTAATACAAGGAAAGAAAGATATGCCTTGATACTTTTAAATGACGTTAGACGAAATACATGCCGGAGAACAAGTACATCGATGCTCCAGTTCAAAAAGGTCGAATTCCAGGAGTACCTAGTTACCAGAAGCACCTAGTTACCTTGATCACATAATAATCTTAACTAAGATTATCCAGGATGTCATAATAAAACAAAGGCGATCTGAAAATTTTGTAGTTAGACCTCGAAAACGAATATGGCATCATTCCATACAAGTTGGTGACCTTGACCCTAGATAAATATAATGGGTCAGAGAAGTTCAGGGACAGGATTCAGCACTGCATCAATAACATAAAAATGCGCTTCAACGTATCGGCTAAACATCATCATAGTAGGGATTGGAAGATAGTATCATAATTAGCTGTATCTTTTCGGATGTACTTTTTTCAGCTTCAATGAATCTTGTGAAATCATCAGAGAAGATGAACCGAAGGACAAATTATGTCATCTGGAGTTTGTCAGCCTCCTATGGTGGCCTTCATGGATTATATGGCAATTGCATTCACGTCAGTACCAAAAGGTAGTTGGATGCTAGAAGTTATTGGAGACCTGATAACTCTAGTCAGTCTGAAGTTTAAGTTATCTAAGTCAGAAAGTCTGGTCCTTGAGAAAGTGATGGTGCAAGATAAAGGTTCAAAATAGGCGATGAAGCAATACTAAAATTAACTGAGCAACCATTTAAAGTTTCGTCAAGTAGTTTAAGGACTCCATGAATGACAGTGAGAGTGTGGTAGACATGAATAGAGAAGCCAAAAACTGGATGGAATACATCGACATGAATGGGCAACATTGGAAGTTCAATGCCTGGTGTTTCTAGCATGGCAGTCTATCTAAAATTATTTGGCTATTTCGAGTATACCGCGTCCCATAGTCGGCCTAGAAACAGTTAAAAGAATATTAAATACATATCTGGGGCGATGTATGTGAGCGTTAGCAATATTGGCTTGTACAGTACCGGCAGTTAACCTTAGTAACCACTATCATCAATGACATTTTAATTCAAAGGCAGGTGATGACGTTGAAAGGCAGTGCCGATAAAAAGGCTAGAGAAGCAGCGGTGGAGGCACAGGCATGTAGAAAGAGGATGACAGCAAAGGCAAGGCACTTGAAAAAGCAGAATGACTGAGATACGGTGACATGGTGGAAGCAGTTGGAACGTTAAGGTTGAGGCTACTGGGAAGCCTGAAAATACCTACATAGCCAGCAGCAAGCATCGAGAGAAGAGTGCCATGGTCAGAAAAAAATACATCTTGCAAAAGATGAAGTCTTGCAATAAAGGGTGTCGGTATGAGGAAGCAGTACAATGTTGGATTGGGAAGCGGAGGGGTCCAGGAAACTGTATTGAAGCGACATCTGGTGATTTGATGCCCACAAATATGTGTCCTATTACGCTCAATATATGATGTACTCCGTACACAGCAAATCTCAATACTTGGAGACTTACTGATGACACAAATTGCACGTAATCTTTGTGGAAGACTTGCAAATTTAGAGCACGTGCTGTCCTCCTCTGACAGATGGTGATCATTGGCGCCATGGTCAAGTGCTTGGTGAGAATGCTAGCAGTATATATATATATATATATATATATATATATATATATATATATATATATATATATATATATATATATATATATATATGTGTGTATCGCAGACGTACGGTTGTCATTGATATAGTTGTTTATTACTATATACGATAACGATGACAGCGCCTGCAGTTATAACAATTATCGTTTCAACTTAAGCGACTATCGCAGGTATTCTCAGTATTATCGCTAAAAAGATAGTTACATGTACAAATGATAAATTGAGCGAATATATAGTAAAGTTACACACAGCAATAGCAGCATATTCTAAATAAACTTCATATATTTCCTCGTATCTTAGTGAAGATACAATATCCGATGAGGAGTTCGCAACGATAATGAAAATCTTCGATGAAGTATTCAGAATCGCTAGTGATTCTAGTGACAATTGCCAAGGCGAAAAATGGATAATTAAAAAAAAACAATAATAATAATGTCAGAGTCCTTGATTGAGTCGAGAGAAGTATTACAAAAGATCGTCACTAACGCAAAACAGTCATAAACTACAATGATTTCATTAAATTCAACAAATCCTCAGTTTAGCGTTAACTTTCCAACCACAATGTCTCGTTCAGGTTGCAAGAAGACAAATGTTGTCCCATTTGCATTCTGGTTGGAAGAAATCTGAGACCACCCCAAAGGTATAAAAAGAGGAAATAAATCCATCTAAATGGTGACAGGGTATGTGACCTTCCACCTCATGCAAGAAATTTGCCCTTTACCTCCTTGCAGCCATGGACCGACATCTTTCTCTTATGAAGTCGGGCCAAACCAGAGGGAAAAGGACTTTATTCCCCCAAACGTCCCAGGAGGGTAAGGAGTCGTTCTCACCCACATTCTGTCCCTCATGCTTGTGACAATCCGTTAGCGCCGCAGATTCAAGTTTCTCAAATTTCCAAATCTCCCTCGCAGAGAAATTGAGTCACATAGTCCTGCTACCAAAGAGCGAAATCATAAAGAAGACGTCCCGTGTGTCCTCGTTCATTCGCACAGGTTTGATACAGAACAGGCCAATGTGACACCCACTCCCTCCGAGTTCCCTGCCTCTTCCCATCCATTAGTAAAGACAGCAGAGGAGATAAGAGATCTAGTCTTTCGATAAAGAGGTTAACGATGTTTATCGTCTGATACCCAGTGATCTGTGTCCCATTCCATTAGGGTTTGGTGACACTAAAATCGTTTCT